CCCGGTGATACTGGCCATGAAAGCCTTGAGAAGATTTATTTGTATGCAACCCTATTAGAAGCTAAGCATGGTCAGCCCTGGTTGGATGGGAAACCATCAACGAATACTAAGTGTTGTTGGATACATTTTAAAAGAAGGAACTGGCAAAAACATCAGCATATTCCTTACATATGCCCTTTCTACACTGTCCTTATATCCCAGGATCTGATCCCAGGTTATCTGCTTTGAACTGGATTATATTAGTCTCCACTGCCATATAATCTGGGATAATTAAATAATCCTGGATCAGATCCTGAGATAAAGAAGGGGCCTAAGAACGGCCAATGGAATCCATAGGGTTCTTATAAACCAATAAGCAACTTGAAAGTACACAGACACACAACTGTGGTGGATCTGCTCTGGTTTTTTTGTCGTGTCAGAAGCAACTTGAGAAACTGCAAGTTGCTACTGGTGCGAGAGAATTGACCATCCGCAAGGACGTTGCCCAGGGGACGCCAGGATGATTTGATGCTCTGGTAAGAACCCTGAATACTGCCCCCCTCCAAAAAAAATGGATTGCTAAAAAGAGAAGGGAAAACTCAACTGAAACACTAAATCTGTTTTTTTAATGCCTTTTTCAAAATAAAAACTCAAACTGATACAGGGATGATTTCAATCTAAATAAAAGCCTGAATTATTCCTCCTGATTCACCCTTCTTTTGGCAGCGGGGAAAGTGCCAAAGTCCATGAAAAAATACTGTTAGGAACCATATGCATCCCCAGAGTCACATTTGGACAACACACTGCTGTCAACTAATCTTATGCCTATCTCTTCAGAAATGTACCCCATTGGGTTATACTTCCACCCAAGGGAATGTGAATAGGACTGTGTGATGGTGAGGATGATTGTGGGAAATCCCATAGAACTTGGCGTAACTTTTAAATAAAGAAGATACCAGCTTAGAATTCTTGCCACCTACTTAGTGGGAACTCAGTTTAATTGGAATGTAGCAGATCTGACTTCTGAAGGAGTTATTTCAGATATGAATCATTTATTGAGTCAGTTATTGCTGACTGTCAGTTTTATTTTATATTTTAGGAGATGGCACACTTTAAAGAGTATTTTTGGACGATTTTGCCCTAAACACTTCATGCATAAGTAAATTTCATTGGCTTAGGCTGCAATTAAAAGTGTAGTGCATCTGATACAGGATATTTTAAGTACAAACAGACAACATCTATTTGTGGTTTTTTTAGTTAATTAAATTTGAATTCTGATCTTCTTCCAAGCTACATAAGGTAGCATATGCTCTGTTGCACAAAAACCCTTTAAAGTGGGTTAGATGGGGATGTAGTGGATGAAAGTAACCAAGGCCCCTTCCACAAAGCTGAATGAAACAACACATTATCTGCTTTGAACTAGAATATATGGGAGTGTGGACTCAGATAACCCAGTTCAAAGCAGATATTGTGTATTGATGTATTGATGTTTTAATCTGTTAATTTGCTTAAACTGTTTTTCTATGTTTTGTATACTGTGATACAGGCATCGAATTGTGCCTTCGCTTGTAAGCCGCCCTGAGTCCCCCCTTGGGGGTGAGAAGGGCAGGGTAGAAGTAATTGAAATAAATAAATAAAATTTTCTGCCTTGCTATTCTGTGTGGAAGGGCCCTATCTTTCACTGCATTGTTTTCAGTGGGTCTGTTGGAAGTATATGAAGTAACACAAATCTAAACCTATAACTGTACGCACTCCTAGGAAAAATAAAAATATAGAAAACATTTTGCTAAAGAAGAACTAAAAACAAGTGAGACATAGAATAGAATGAAGAAAGAAAACTGTGCAATCTATTATGTCTCCTTCAACAACTAGAAAACATAAGATTATATAGAGGAACTAGCATAAATTCATTAATATGACATGCAATGTCATTCCTGTATTGTAAAATTATCCTCAAGCAGGATTTTTTTTCCTGAATTGTAGTAAATGAATGAATTTTTCCGCCCAAGTACATAAGTTGTGGTATCTGCCCACTAAACTTTTTAAAATGTCAAGTCAAAAATGCCCCCAAAGAAACCTTGGCTGAAATCTCTCCAAAGAGGAAGACACTGCTAAGGTAGCTGACCTATGTATTTCTTCTTTATATTGCAAATGAAAGTTATTGAATGCCCTTAGTTACACTTTAACTTCTTAGAAGTCTTCCCAGGAAAAACAAAACAAAACACCAAGAGACAGGGTTTACAATAGAGATGGAATTTTCCCCGGTTTTTCACGTTTCAATTCTGGTTCAATCCATCATGTCACTCGCAGCTCCAGCTCGCAGAGACTCCTGCGCATGCGTGAGAAAAGGGGCAGCCAAGAGAGAGGCGAGGAGAACAACAACAAAAGCAACAACAAACACTTTGGTTAATATTTATACTGGAAAAGAGAAATAAAATTCGGAGATAGATAAATACTTTCATAAAATTATAAATTAAAAATTATATCCTTTATATAAATTTATATAATAAATTATATAAATTATAAATAATCAACAAACAATAAAATAAATAATAATAGCAGAGAAGGGATAAAGAATTCAGGGAATTTTAATTTTTTTATGAATTCTAAAAAAAAACCCCTAACAAACAAACAAAAAGAAACAATAACAGCGTGTGGATAATCTGTAGACTAGAAAATACGTTTTTAAAGCATCTCATCCAGGTTGCTTGAGAAAGCTGAATTAAATTATACATTTGTCTCGTTTTTCCAAAGCTCTCTCTGTCTCGTTTCTTCCATGCTTAAACTGTATTAATTAGGATAGTTGAATTAACACGATTTTGAAAGCATTATAATTCACACTGCACATCAAGTTCTGAAAAATTGTCCTTTAAGAGTCTGTTTTAATGAAATATAATGACCAAGGCATAAATGAATACAGTTGAAATGATAAGTCCAGAACCAGTTCTCTTTCTGCTTATCTGAGATCTGTTTATCATATACTGGATACGTTTTGGAGAGTCACCTTCCTAGATTTCATAGTCACTCAGGTCCCTTCCACCCAGAATATCAAGGCAGAAAATCCTACAATATCTGCTTTGAACTGGGTTATCTGAGCCCACACTGCCATATATTCCAGTTCAAAGCAGATAATGTGGGATTTTACTCAGCTGTGTAGAAGGGGGCCTCATATTGCCGCCTTACACAACTGAGTTATTTCAACGATCTGCACTTTCTGCTGAATGTGGTTGAGAGTGAAGCATAAGAGAGCAACACTCAAGCCAGTCTTGAGTCTGGTACACTCGGTATTGGGAAGAGAAGCCAATTGACTTCAACTGAAATGAAGTCTCAGTTAATTGTGTTTAGGGTTACAAGGAATTAATAGCTGGCCGCAGAGCAAGAGCAGAGATGAGGGAAATTGGAGTCAGTTGTTAGTCTAGTAGAAGGAGAAAACAAGGAACACACGAGAAAACATATAAGGAATTCTGCTCTTTGAGTCCATGTGTGTTTCCCGTGTTGTGTAGGTGTCAAAAAAACACGTGGGAGGAAACTGTATGCCAGAACTGACATATCAAGACTTTCTATTTTGGTCGTTTTTATTAAAGACCCAGAAGGCCGTGTAGTGTGTGTGGGAGAGAGACAAAGAGAGAGAGAGAGAGAGAGAGAGAGAGGAATAAAAACTCCTGGATGTTGTGCTATAGTGTTGCATATGCATAGTAATGGATTCCCAAGACCATGTGTGCCTGTCCCTTCCTTTGTAGGTTAGGTAAATGGTTCAGATAGAATACCACATTCAGAATGGGAGTTATGTATGATCGACATCTGCTATGCTTGGCCTTCGTGTGTCCATATTTTTCCAGAGAGAGAGAGAATGAATATATGAAGGTGGCCCTAAAGGCTCCTCGAAGTATATCTCTGTGGACCCGAGACTGTCATGGTGTAGCATGCTGGCAAATGGCCAAACATGGCAGAGCCTGGGCAGTTCTTCTTGATTGGATTGCTGTGAGTTTTCCGGGCTGCGTGGTCATGTTCCAGGAGCATTCTCTCCTGACGTTTCTTCTTGAGTTTGTGAAGAAGAGAAACTGAAGGCTCTGTTATATAATTTTTGCAATGTTGATGTGTTTTAATTATACTGTAATTCGCCTCGAGCCGCGGGTAACAAATAATAATAATAATAATAATAATAATAATAATAATAATAATAATAATAATAATCGAACTGCAAAGACTCTGGCACAAGCCAGTAAAGGTGGTCCCGGTGGTGATCGGTACACTGGGTGCAGTGCTTAAAGACCTTGGCCTGCACTTAAACRCAATCGGCGCTGACAACATTACCATCTGCCAGCTGCAGAAGGCCACCTTACTGGGATCTGCAGAAAAGAAGGCTGAGAGGAGACATGATGAGGACCATGTATAAATATGTGAGGGGAAGTCATAGGGAGGAGGGAGCAAGCTTGTTTTCTGCTGCCCTGGAGACTAGGATGCGGAACAATGGCGTCAAACTACAAGAAAGGACACTCCACCTGAACATTAAGAACGTCCTGACTGTGAGAGCTGTTCAGCGGTGGAACTCTCTGCCCCGGAGTGTGGTAGAGGCTCTTTCTATAGAGGCTTTTAAACAGAAGCTGGATGGCCATCTGTTGGGGGTGCTTTGAACGGGTTTTCCTGCTTCTTGGCAGGGGGTTGGACTGGATGGCCCACGAGGTCTCTTCCAACTATAAGATTCTATGATTCACTGATCTCCTTTTGGGAGCAGCCACTGTCTCTGGGTGCATCTGTCTTGTAGAATTAATGCTGTTTGACCCCACTTGAACTCCCACGACCCAATGCTATGGGATTATGGCAGTAGTCGTTTTACAAAGCCTTCCCTGGCAAAGAGAAGTGGTGCCTCAACATACTACAAATCACAGGAACCCATTGCATTGAGCCGTGGCAGTGAAAACGGTGTCAAACTGCATCTATTTGACAGTGTAGCAATTCCAAAGGGGCCTCCTTCCTTGGTGGCTTTCTTTTCCATCTCTGTCTCTCCCTTCCCTTCCCAGGTGGCTCCAGGCCCGGAAGAAGACCAGGCCGGGTGAGGGCAAGGGCATCCGCGCCGGTCCATGTTATTTGAGCGGGGCCCCGAGGCCTTGGCGACCGCAGAGCCCATCATCATGCAGAAAACGGCCTACTACGACAACACGGCGCTCTTCGGCGGGGGCGGCTATGGAGGCTACGGCAAAGCGGACGCCTACGGCTACCCCACCGGCCCACAGCCTTACTCCCAGCTGGAGAGCGACTACGCGGGCTCGGCTTGCTCCCTCCAAGGCGTGGCCACGGCCTCCGCCCCACTCCGGGGACCCCCGGCGGCCCACAAGAGCGCCGACTTGGGCGGGAGCTGCATGCGGACGGGAGGAGCCGGACAAGGCGCCCAGCCTGGGTTGGGGGAGCCCCAGCAGCAGCAGCAGCAACAACAAGCCCCGCCCCCTCCTCAGCAGCAACAGCAAGCCCCGCCCCCCGCGCTGCCCTCTTCGCCCTCCCCGCCCGCCACGAACCCCGCCCACGCGATTCCCGCCAAAAAGGGTAAAGGCGGGCCCAACGCCTCGGGCGGCTCGGCAGCCACCATCAGCAAGCAGATATTCCCCTGGATGAAGGAGTCCCGGCAGAACTCCAAGCAGAAAAACAATTGCGCCCCCGCAGGTACTCCCAACAGCCCCCCCTTTCCTGGTATTCCTGTTGTTTTTTATTTGAAGGTCTGGAAGTTGGAGTAGACACTTTTTGGACTACATCTCCCAGCATCTCCGTGCAGCCAAACTGTCTAGGGATGCCACTCCACAGACACTTCACCAGGCCCACATAAGACCCCTCCCCCAAACTGGTCTTACACCTTTCCTGGAGTTGGGGGAGTCACTTTTTTGTATTACAGCTACTCTCAACCCCCGTGTGGCCAAGGCTGCCTGAGGATTATGGAAGCAAAATTAGGTTTTCCATTTTATATAATACAAGAAGCACAAGGCAGCCCCAATAGTAAGAGTTCTGTTTCACCCTCTCCAGGCTTTCTAGATGACTCAATCAATTCTTCAAGTGAGGACCCTTCCACACAACCCTATATCTCAGAATATCAAGACAGAAAATCCCACATTATCTGAGTGTAGACTCAGATAACCCATTTCAAAGCAGATATTGTGGGATTTTCTGCCTTGATATTCTGGGATATAGGGCTGTGTGGAAGGGCCCTGAGTTATAAAGCCAGTATCTCCACTTTGGTTGTTATCTCCCAGCACCTGAGATCCAGGGCATCCCTTTGAACTACAGGTACCAGGGTACATATACACTGCAGAATTAATGCTCTTTCACACCACTTTAACTGTCACGACTTGATACTATGGAACCATAGGTGTTGTCATTTGGTGAGGCACCAGCTCCTTGGCAGGAAAAGATAAGGTTCTTGTCAAACCACAACTCCCAGGATTCCATGCTATTGGGCCATGGCAGTATAACTGTGCAGGGTAGCCACCAGCAGTCTTTCCCTCATTAATGTATCTGTTCTTCTTTTAAGGCAGTCTAAACATGCTCTTGCATTTATTTTTGGAAATTAGAGTCTGTACGCCCTTCCTTTCCCAGCTGGGTGATTTCATGATAAATCTAAGATATCTAGAGCTCACTTGATTGGTGAAGACTGCTCTCCACTTACTAAACCAGTCTTTAAACTTCAAGAGACTTGGATTTGCTACCTATTGAAGGCAGTTGGATGAGGAACTGGTGACCCCCCCTCTGCAGAAATTTCGCAGAACCTTTTCGACTTGACCAAGTAGGGTTTGTAGCCCCATTTGTCCACCCCTTCCTCTCGTTGCCCTCCAGCATTCTGCCTGAAACTGATGTCTGAGATACCTTCTTAATTGGCAGACTCTCATCCAAGCACTAACCAGGGCTCCTTCTACACTTCCATATAACCAGACCATCAACCTACACATAAATCAGTTCTCTATCCTACAAAGCAAGGGATACATCTACTCTGCCTTACTGAAAACAGGACCACTCAGGCTGAATCTACACTGGCCTATATCCCAGGATCTGATCCCAGATCATCTGCTTTGAACTGGATTATATGAGTCTATATTGCTAAATAATCTGGGATAAACAGATAATTTGGGATCAGATCCTGGGGTATAGGGCAGTGAAGATCCAGCCTCAGGAGACTCTTCGGATGCATTACTTGCAAATACCTGCTTTAGAAGGAATAATTTTTGAAAGGTTTTAGGCTGGAGGGATGTAATAAGAAAAATGAGGACTGGAAGGAAGTTCGTTTGTTTATGGCATGTGTCTATGGGCTCTCCGTCCAAGGTCCCTGAGGCAATCCAAAAGTTGTAGGTTCCTTGCCTTCTTTTCGTTTTGAAGTCTAGTCAGGCCAGGTGTTCCTTTTTCAGAGTCAGTTATTAATTGGTCTTTATTAGATGAGATTTGCTGGTATCCAAAGTTCTCTCTTATTTAGACTATAGTGACCTCAGGTATACTATTAGATTCATAAAGCATATCTATCTGTTGACTTTCCATTCAGCATGAATTCAAGGGCCTACTGTAGTAGAATTCAGGGTAATAGTTATGTCAGATTCCATGGTATTTATGGCCCCGGTGGTTTGGGCATTGGACTAAACTCCTCCCCCCCCCGCCCTGCTCCCCTACACTGCCATATGAAATCCAGATTATCTGAATTGAACTGGATTATATGGCAATGTGGACTCATCATCCAGTTCAAAACAGATAATCTGAACTATCTGCTTTGATAATCTGGAATATGGCAGTGTAGATCCAGCCTGGAGATCAGGGTCCAAATCTCTTTGGGCAGGTCACACCCTCTCAGCCTCAGAGGAAAGCAAAGGCAAACCTTTTCTGAACAAATCTTACCAAGGAAAACCATGAGAATGTTCCCACAAGTTTGGAAAGATTAGGGGCCCTTCCACACAGCCCTATATCCCAGAATATCAAGGCAGAAAATCCCACAAATCTGCTTTGAACTGGGTTATCTGAGCCCACACGCACATAATGTAGGATTTCCTGCCTTGATATTCTGGGATATATAGGGTTGTGTGGAAGGGCTCGTGAAAGCCACACCACAACAAATCCCTCCTACCTTATTCAATCCACCTGGAGAACCTCAGACCAGAAAACCTTGGGTGCACCTACACTCTAGAGCAGGCATGGGCAAACTTCAGCCCTCCATGTGTTTTGGCCTTCAACTCCCACAATTCCTAACAGCCTACCGGCCTGCTCCAAAATAAATGCAATTTGACCCTACTTTACCTGCCAGGGCTCAATGGTATGGAATCATAGTTTGACGAGGAATTATTTATTTATTTATTTATTATTAATAATAAATAATATTTTTTTATTAATTAAATTTATTTATTTATTTATTTATTAAGGAAGGCTAAAGACCTTGTAAAACTACAGATTTCCTAATTCCATACCATAGAACCGTTAGTGATGTCATACCGCATTGATTCTATAGAGGCATTATAGAATCCTTGCTAAAGATAGGGAGAGAGAGGCATCCCATACATAAAGAGGATCTCTCTTGCCCCTCACATATGTGCGGCTTTGTCTCCTCAGAAACCTATCTTGTTGCAAACATTATCAAGCAGAAAAATACATATGGGGGCGTTGATATGGGCCCTCGTGTTTTTTTTTTAAATTCCAAAATCCCCTGTTGCTGTAGGTGAAAGGAGGCGAGGGGGTGAGTCTAGCCAGGCCGCCCTGCCTCTCCTTGCGCCAATTTGAAATGGCTGCCCGCTTTGAGGGCGAGGGAGTGCTGCTCTGAATGTGGCTATTTCTGACGCTTTCCCTCCAGGAATCCCTCCCCCTTTTCATCCCCCCCCCCCCCCCGATAATAAACGCGCCTAGATCTTTCTCAGCCCGGGCAGCATCTCCATTGTCTTCCCAGTCCTTTGGAGGCCTGGGTCTCGCTCGTGGTCGGGACCAAACCAGAGAGTCTTCCAGGGGTTTTGTCAGGCATCGATCGCCTCCTCCAATTAAATCCGATGATTTACAACTCTCCTGCCTGGCACTGTAACTTTGCTATCCCTCCGAGAGCTGAGATTCCTTGCTGGGAGGGTGGGGAGATCGAACCCCTCTCGCATTTTACACAGATAAGAAGATCGCCCTCCCATTTCCAATGAAATCAAAGGATTTGATGAGTCAGGCCCACTTGGTTTCCACTCTTCTTAATACCTCTCTTGCTAAATGTACACCTGTGACACGGATCCTTACCAATGTATTGATAGAGGGGCGATGGGATGGAGGGGGAACTTTTGCACCTAGTTGCGCTTCACTTTGAATTCTTGAGTGCATCTACACTGTACAATTAATGCAGCTTGACACCACTGTAGCTGCCATGGCTCAATGCTATGGAATGATGGGAGCTGTAGTTTAGCAGAGAAGGCCAAAGAGCTTATACAACTATACCTCCTTACGATTCCAGAGACCTGGCAGTGACAGTCTGCATGGATTCTATAGTGCCGATGATGCACCTGGAGTGACACTAGGCAGGTATATAAGTGCGGTTTTCTCATGGACACTTCAGTCTTTCAAGTGCATTGTGAAACAATTCACCCACGACCTCCTCTTTCTCTTCCTTTCTTCTTCTCTCTGCCTCTTCTTCTGGTCTTCTCTCTTTTCTCTTCCTCCCCCTCTCTTTTCCTTCTTATTTCTTCTCCTTCTCTCTTTCTCTGATTCCTTTCTTGCTCCCTTTCCTTTCTCCTTTCTTTCTTTCTTCCTCCCGTCCTTCCCCTCTCTTTATCACCCTCTTGCTTGTTTGCTTTCCTTCGTCCCTTCTTCCCTCTCTCCCCCTCTTTCTTCTTCTCCCACTTCCTCCCACCCTTTCCCTCTCTTTTCCTCTTTCTTCTTTCTTTCCTCCCTCCCTCCCTCCCTCCCTCTCCACCCTCCTCTCTTTCCTCTTCCTTCCCTTCCTCCTCCTTCCTCCTCGCTTCCCCCTCTTGCTTGCTTTCGCCTTCCCTTTATCTTTTGCTTGCTTTCCTTTCTTCCTCTCCTCTCTCTCCCTCTCTTCTTCTTCCTCTTTCTATTTCCCCTTCCTTTCTCTCTCCTCCTTCCCTTTCCCCCTTGCTTTCTTGCTACCCCCTCTTTATCTTTCCTTTTTCTTTCTTTCCTTCCTTCCCCTCTTCCTCTCTTTCTATTTCTCCCTCTCTTCCTTCCTCTCTGTCTTTCCCGTCCTTTCTCCCTCCCTCTTCTCTTTCTTTTTCTCTTCCTCCCTCCCTATTCTTCTCTCTTTCTCCCTCCCTTTCCTCCTCTCTTCCTTTCTTTCCTCCATCCTTTCTTCCTCTCTCTTTTCCCGTCCTCCCTCCCTCTCAATTCTCATATCTTTCTCTTCCTTCTTTCTCTGTTTTTTCTCTTCCTCCCTCCCTTTCTCCCTCTCTTTCTTGCTTTCTTTCCTCCCTTCTTCCTCTCTCTATTTCTCTCTCTCTCTCTTCCTTCCTTCCTCTCAATTCTCATCTCTTTCTCTTCCTTCTTCTCTCTCTGTTTTTCTCTCTCCACCCCCCCCTTTCCTCCTCCTTTCCTTTCCTCACTCCTCTATTTCTCTCTTTCCCGTCCTTTCTTCCTCCCTCTTCTCGTCTCTTTCTCTTCTTTCTACTCTATTTTTCTCTCTTCCCCCTTCCCTCCTATCCTCCCTCTCTTTCCCCGCTTTCTCTCCCCCCCCCTTTCTCTCTCTCCCGCCTGGACAGGGGAGCCATGCGAGGACAAGAGCCCCCCGGGCCCGGCCTCCAAGCGGGTCCGCACGGCCTACACGAGCGCGCAGCTGGTGGAGCTGGAGAAGGAGTTCCACTTCAACCGCTACCTCTGCCGCCCGCGCCGCGTGGAGATGGCCAACCTGCTCAACCTGACCGAGCGGCAGATCAAGATCTGGTTCCAGAACCGGCGCATGAAGTACAAGAAGGACCAGAAGGCCAAGGGCATCCTGCACTCCCCGGCGGGGGGCCAGTCCCCGGAGCGGAGCCCTCCGCTGGTGGGGGCGGGGGCGCACCTGGGCTACGTGGGGGGCGGGCCCGGCGGCCTGGGCTACGCCGACGCCCCCTCGCCGCCCGCCTTCGCCAAGTCCCAGCAGAACCTCTACGGGCTGGCGGCCTACACGGCCCCGCTGGGCCCCTGCCTGCCGCAGAAGCGCTACCCGGGCGCCGAGTACGAGGCGCAGGCCTTGCAGGGGGGCGGCGGGGGCGGCGGCGGGGGAGGAGGGGGCTTCGGCAACCCGGCCTTGCAGGGCAGCCCCGTGTACGTGGGCGGCGGCGGCTTCGTGGACTCCATGCCGGCCTCGGGCCCCATGTTCAGCCTGGGCCACCTCTCGCACCCTTCCTCGGCCAGCGTGGACTACAGCTGCGCGGCCCAGATCCCGGGCAACCACCACCACCACGGACCTTGCGACCCCCACCCCACCTACACAGACCTGTCTTCTCACCATTCATCTCAGGGAAGGATGCCGGAAGCCCCCAAACTCACGCACCTGTAACAGACAGACAGACTGGAATCGGATTCCCAGAGCGATTGAGAGAGAGAGAGAGAAAGAGAGAGAGATGGATGAAGTGTGCCGGCGTTTAAATTACCTCACTTTCCCCCCTTAACAATAATATACTTTCCTTTGTGTACTCTTTGAGTCTTAGCGGATTAATTTTCTCCCCTCCCAACAACACCTTCCTTTGGCCATTAGTCCATACACATTTTCCTAGGTCCCCCCTCCCCTTTCCCCAGTTTGAAAGCATCACCGTGCAATATCCTTTCCAAAAGAGCATGCCCGCAAGGGAGTCATAATACTTGGTAATGATTTACAGAAAGAAGGTAAGTTGGAGAAACCCATTAGTAAGTCCTGAGGAGGAGTTTTTACAACAACGACGGGGGACTTCATTCTGCAAGTGTTAATTTATAAGAACCTTCAGCAATGCAAAAGATTGCTTTGGACTTGAAATGAGATGTATTTATTATTATCATGGTTATTTTAAAAAGGAACTCTCTCTTTTTGGTTGGTATCACTGATTATTTAATCCTGATCTTTAATGTATTTATGTGGATATTGGTAGAACTTCTTCACGCTCCCCCCTCTCCCCTAATTTTTGGAAGATTGATTCAGGTCTTTGGGGATTATACATTTTTTCACCTATTTAGTATATTTGGTCGGAAAAATAGAAAGAGTAGTTTTGAGCAGTTGTAACAGTGGCTGGTGTTTGTAGTTTATGTAAGGATTAAGCAAATTGTAAGTCAAGTCATAGATTAATACAGGACTGAAGCGTTATCACAAAAAGAGCCCTTACTTTTTATATTAAAAACTCTTTAAAATGGAGAAATGTTAATTTATTTTAGGCGTTTGGGTGTCATTTTACTTAGAAGTTAAAATGACCCTCCTTAGGCTGGGAGTATATATGTCATTTTCAATTTTCCTGAGTTGCCACTATTAGGTGATATGAATTTTGCCTAAACTCCATGCAGTATACTTCTCATGTTGTTAACATACATTGCAGACCCATGTGGGATTTACTCTCAGGAAGATGTATCCAGGATCGCAAGCTTACTATCCCGTTGTGCAAGTCACTTTGTCTGCTTGTTGACATTCTTTTTCTTGTGGAAACATGGAATTTTTTATTTTTTATTTTCGTGTCAGGAGCGACTTGAGAAACTGCAAGTCGCTTCTGGTGTGAGAGAACTGGCTTCTGGTGTGAGAGAACTGGCCGTCTGCAAGGACGTTGCCCAGAGAATTGGCTGTCTGCAAGGAGGTTGCCCAGGGGACGTCCAGATGTTCTGATGTTTTACCGTCCTTGTGGGAGTCTTCTCTCATGTCCCCAAATGGGGAGCTGGAGCTGACAGAGGGAGCTCATCCATGCTCTCCCGGATTTGAACCTCGGATCTCTTTAGTCCTGCCAGCACAAGGATTTAACTCATTGCGCCACTGGATAAAAATAAGCAAAAATTACAATTTGTCAAAAATGTAATGTTGCTGATGTAATTAGAATTTCCACATCAAGCCAGGCTTACAAAAATGTCAATTTCTGTTGGCTGTAATTGTTATTCTTGTTGTTATTATTCTTGTTTATTATTATTATTATTATTATTATTATTATTATTATTATTTATATAATATTTATGCGTACCATAAATCAGTTTTCTATATGTCAGTGGAAACCCACACTTACTTTTGCTGAAATGAGGAGGGCAAAACAAAAGAAGAAGAAGAAGAAGAAGAAAACACTTTGAAATATTTGACAATCAAGTATCTACAAAGGAAAGACTGCATTAGGCTGTAGGAGAAAGAATCCTTCTGAGATGCTCAGAATGGCTGTTGCGGTAGGAAATGACTAGATCTATCAATATTTAATATAGTCTTCTGTAGCAGACATTGGTACAATCCTTGTGTAAACAAATGTTTCTGCCCAAGAGCCTGAAAGGGACAAGAAACGCAAACATCCTTTTCCCGCCCACTCTTCCTCTTTATTTATATGTACCATTTAATCTCTTACTGGATTTATGGAGCTTTTCTCAATGTAAAAGTGGCATTAGGTACACAGGAGAAGCGCAACATGCCCATTAATTCAGGAGGAAGTGTTCCTTATCGCTTTGGAAAGCGCTCAGTTAAGATTCAGATCTTCTGAATTCCCACAACAGAACTGTGGTGAAACCTCACTTTTCAGTTTGACTAATAATATAGCTCCATCTCTCTGCTGCCTGTTGGCAACTCCTGCAATTCTTTTTTGTGCCAGAGGTTTTTACTCCTATGAATAAAAACTGTTCCTTCCCCTCCTTACAATTTGTTTTCCTCCTCCCTCCCTCTCACTTTAAATGCCATGTTACAGTAAATAATGAGAAAAGATGAGGAAAATGTATCCTTTGTTGAATTTCACTTTTACCCAAGTGTTGTAGATCTGTAAACAAACCAGAATAAACAGCTTCGAATGAAGACATATTTTAACCATTTCTGGTTTTCTATTGGTATTTGTTTCTTCTGGACTTTTATTTAAAATGGCAATAAAAACAAAATTAAAAAGTGCATGGTGAATTATCACCACAACAATGTTTTTTTAGTAGGACTTCCAGGAAATGACTGGGAATCAAACTGATAAATAAATAGTATGTGCAGATTGTGTGCTACATTCCTAGTATTAAAAGGTATTTCTCTCTTCTCCCCTATAAATCAAGACAATGAGCAAGGAATTTGAGCTTGTGTAGGCTCCTGATGGTATGCTGTGTCCCACAGTTGGTATTTGCTGAGTCTGTGGGATTGGGAGGCCCAAGTGTTAGGCCCAGGGCCCTTCCACACAGCCATATAACCCAGAATATCAAGGCAGAAAATCCCACAATATCTGCTTTGAACTGGAATATATGGCAATATGGACTCAGATAACCCAGGGCCTTTCCACACAGCCCTATATCCCAGAATATCAAGGCAGAAAAGCCCACAATATCTGCTTTGAATTGGGCTATCTGAGTCCATACTGGCATGTATTTCTGGTCACAGCAGATAATCTGTAGAAGGGGCCCCAGTTGAATGCTTTATTATGGTGTCTGGGTGGCTTTTCATTATTATTCCCTCTTCTAAACCACCAAAAAGGACAAGCAACCTCTAAGCTTCTTGGGGTGGGATAAAGGAGGAATAAGGGACATGTTTTACAAAACACACCAACCTCAAAGTTCTTACATGGCAATATTTTTGTAGTCAAACACCTTTTCCAAATATTTATAAAATTTTGTTTGCAAAGCTGGTGTGTCATGCTGCCATCTTTGGTATTGTTGTTCTATGTATTGTGGAAGGCTTATATGGCTATATGGCTGTATGGCCATGTTTCAGAAGCATTTTCTCCTGAAGTTTCGCCTGCATCTATAGCAGGCATCCTCAAAGGTTCTCCCACCCTGGACATTCCACAGATATATAAACTCCATTTTCCTCATTTCCAACAACCTCACAACCTCTGAGGATGCCTGCCATAGATGCAGGTGAAATGTCAGGGGAGAATGCTTCTGGAACATGTACACACAGCCTGGAAAACTCACTATTTATTTATTTATTTATTTATTTATTTATTTATTTATTTATTTATTTATTGTATTTGTATACTGCTTTTCTCACCCCGAGGGGAATCAAAGCGGTTTACACATAAGTAATGGCAAAAATTCAATGCGAGTACAAACAGTTACAATTATACACTATAGTTAGACATAAATTAAATGTAAAAATACATCCATGAGCAATAAAACAATAATTAAAACAATAAAACAGTCTTGTCCAAATCGCTGCTCCAGTCATTGTATTTCCGAAATGCTGCATACATTTACTTCTACTGCCCAAAGGCCTGGTCCCAAAACCATGATTTAATTTTTTTTCTAAAAGCCAGGAGGGAGGGAGCAGATCTTACCTCATTTGGGAGTGTGTTCCATAGGCGGGGGGGCCACAGCCGAGAAGGCCCTGTCTCTCGTCCCTGCCAGGCACATCTGTGATGTTGACGGGACCGAGAGCAGGGCCGCCCCGGATGATCTTAGATTACGAGGTGGGATGTAGGGGTGGATGCCCTAGTATGTTCTAGTTCATACTATTCCAGCCCTTCATTGACTAGGATTGCTGCACCAAAATGTGTTCGTTCACTTATTTAAAAGGCAAGGACTTAAAAAACCAAAGTCTTTTTTTTCACATAGTAAAATAGCTTAATATAAACCATGGGGCAAACCTCAGTATGGGAAGTGGGTGTCTCCTGCCCTTACCTCCTTCTGCCTTGTTGGAGGAGGTCAACCATAAAACACTCTGTGGTCCAACAAATTACGTGGCAAGAAACTGATATGTATTTAATTAAAGCTTGCTTCCAAGTAAAAAAATAAAATAAACCAAACTGCACCCTTCTGTTTTTGTTTGGTGTGTTTTATTTTATTTTTGCTTTTAATTCATAGAAGTCAATGACAAGACTTCCATGAATTGCAATGGTGCTATCTTTTGCTCCAAGACATTACTGGCACCAGGTTTTCTTGGTTTTAGCCCAGCATTCAGATTTTTGGATCTTCACACCTAACATAAATCCTGCTTCATCTAGGTTGCTGGTCCATGGGGTTATCTGATTAAGACATGTGTTGTAAGCAGGTCCAATGTTTTGCTCCTTTTTCTCCAGGATACCCATCAATGGCCAACCTTTCAAAAATATTCCAAAGTTACAAGCAAAGAGAATAATGTAGTCTTTCAGGGCCTTTCCACACAGTCATATAACCCAGAAAATAAAGCAGCAAATCCACAATATCTGCTTTGAACTGGGTTATCTGTGTCCACACTGCTTTATATTCCAGTTCAAAGCAGATAATTTGGGATCTTATTTGACTGTGTGGAAGGGGCCTCAAATACCTGTTTCAGGCTGCATTGTAAAACCTTTTTATAGTGAAAGCAGGATGGATGTTATGCTTGGAAGTCATCTTTCTTTGTTCTTCCTGGTTTTCTTTCATGACACCATTTTATTGTTATTTAGACTCATCCACTCTGTCCCAAGGCCTCAAGGTGAACTTTATTATCGATTTCTTCTGGCCTGGCAGAAGAAGAGCTAAGGAGAATAAGGGGGGGGGGGGGGGGGGGGAGACCCTCTCTACTTGGGTAAAGCCCATCACCCTTGTTTTCTTTAAGGCTATAGCTCTAAAGCATGCTTCCCAGAGAGGAAGTCCCATGGAAATTAGTAGGGAATGCTCATTAGTAAATTAGTTTACCATGAGATCTTCACTAATTAAACCAGGCTATAGTTTCTTATCTTAAATTGCATTCTGCATTTAAATCCTCCCTCCTCTCTCTCATACATACACATTCCTAGGCATCCTTCAAAGAGAGGGAAGAGGGATGATAATAGTATAGAGCAAAGGACCAAGAGGTACAACAATTATGTTACAGATATAAATGTGCCTTCCTATGGGTCTGATCTTCTCTTGTTGCTTGGTCTCCACTATGGACTGACAAAGGCCCCCTCTACACTCCCATACAATCCAGATGATCAAAGCAGACAATCCACATTATATTCTTTAAACTGGGTTATGTGAGTCTACACTGCTATATAATCCAGTTCAGAGCAGATAATCTGGATTTTATATGATAGTGGAGAAGGGGGAAAAATTTTTCCAGAATGGTGAGACAAAATCTTTGAGGATCAAGAGAAACTTTGAATTCAACTTTGAGGAAATCAATAGCAAAATCACTATCAATTCCAAGGTGCTCAGGGTTTACTTTCAAAGTGACAGAGGGAGTGTGGGTGGGTGACCAAACACATCATGCTCGAAGAACAGAACATTGAAGAGTTTGCCCCAGGGAACCCTTAACTGGATCCAGAACAGCATCTGAAAAAGTAGTCCTTAAGTCTACAAATGCTTATGCTAGAATTTCCTTCTACATTGCCATATAAAATCCAGATTATCATAGAATCATAAATCATAGAACCATAGAGTTGGAAGAGACCTCATGGGCCATCCAGTCCAACCCCCTGCCAAGAACTTGGATTATCTGGCAGGGTAGACTCATATAGTCCAATTCAAAGCAAATAATGTGGATTATCTGCAATCCTTTTGAAGAAAGAAAAATCTGCATACAAATAATAATAATAATAATAATAATAATAATAATAATAATAATAATAATACAGCAGCAATAATAGTGCAGCCTCAACTGAATGCTGTGGAATTTGGGGATTTGTGATTTGGTGAGACACATCTAATCTTTGTCAGAGAAGGCAAAATACATTGTGAAACTACATATTCCATGATTCTATAACACTGAACCTGGGCAGTTGGTGGTGTAGGTTTTACAAGCCATCTCTGCCAAAGATTATATCTCACCAAAATACAACATTTTATTTATTTATGATATTTCTATCCTGCCTTTCTCCAGCCCGAAGGAGACTCAAGGCAGCTTTACAACATAGGCAGCACAGTATAAAATATTAAACATTTAAACCATTAATAAAAACATACAATAAAAACTATTTTAAAACATACAAAACCAGTGCGTTCACTGTTCATCTCAGTGTGCAAAAAACATTGTATGAGCCCTTCCAATTCAGTTCCATATAAATCCATGATTGTCTATAGCACTGTGTTCCCTAAGGCTTGTTCAAAAAGCCAGGTTTTTACATCTCAAGATGTCAATAGCAAATAGCCTAAAAGAATCCCACACCTTGTGTGACTGTGGAGCAGAACAGACAACTCCGCATCTGTATGCTTGCCCACTGTG